AAAACGTTCATTTTCACCCTTTGATTGATCAAATACTTAATGATATCTACTTGGTGGTTGATCACAGCTTCGTGCAACACAGAAATGCCTCTGTGATCTCCAGATATGGTATCAATGTTAGCTCCATGCTGATGAAGGACTTTCACAATTTCAAGATGTCCTTTCTGACAAGCAAGATGCAGAGGAGTGCACCAGGAACCAAATCTGCTCAGCTCAGCAGGTCGTGGAGCCTCTTTCTTGGCACCTCCTTGCAGTAGATATTTTACAACCTGGACATGGCCATCACTGGCTGCGACATGCAAAGGTGTTTTCAGGTGATTAGAAGCAATACTATTTGGATCAGCGCCTTTCTCTAGAAGCGCCTTAACAATCTCACCAAAACCATTCCCAGCGGCAATGTGAAGTGGGGTTTCCTTTGCAATAGTCTTCTCAACTCGCAGTTTCAAATCTGCCCCCGACTCAAGAAGTGCATGAACCACCTCCAGGTGGTCAAAAAAACATGCAATATGCAAAGGTGCCATCCCATGAAGAGCTGGCTCACCATGGTTGATTTCCTGTAATGTTGGTTTAAGCTCAAGGATGGTTTCCCCCTTGCCAAGAATGCAAGCCTTTACAAGACTACTGCTAGTTTGACTGCATAAGTATTGGGAGATTTGTTCTTCAAGCTTTAAACTAATGTATTTAAGTGACACAGCAGGAGTATTTCTTGATTGACCGCTTCCATCCATTTGAAACAGTCAGAATATTACGGATGCCTTATTTTCCAATCCTAGCAAAAAAAAAAACATGATACTGATTCAGACATTAAAGAATGAGATTAAAAAATGTACTTTACTACCAGTACTATTCAAATTGATCCAAGTGATAATTCAACTAACTTGGGAAAACACATTTTGTAGGATAACATACAGGCTTGTTTTCAATACTAGCTAGTAAGGTTTTGAGAAAAGAATATTCATGAGCATCTTTTGTAAAGAAAATATCGATTAAATCAAGCAGAAAACCCCAAATGATGAGCATAACTTTGAAAAGCATTTTATAACTGAGCGTTTTACAGAAACTGGTCAGAATGACTTAGAAACCCAAGAAAGGGGACGTTAGGCAGTTTTGTTTTAATGTTGCATTAAATACAACATATTTCCAGGGGAGCATGGCCCCAGACCCCTCAAGAAGCTTGCACTTCATTGTTTATCCTGGATCCGCACCTGTGACTAGTAAGTTTTCTGTCACAGACAAGCTGCATATCTTTTATGAATACACTGTACAGCCTGTGTTTTTGAAGCAGCCGGCAGCCAGCAAAAATCACCACCTACTCCATAGTCTTGGCTGGCTTTTTACTGGCTGCATATGTGGGCTCTTCATTTAATTCTTCAGAAAGATGAAAAAATCAGCCTTCTCCTTTATACAATAAAGCCAGCTACTTCAGAAACTTTGTTTGTATGCTTGCTTTTGTGGTCTTTGTTTCAAATGTTCAGAAATCAGACCTGGCCACTTCTGCCATCCCTAACAACTTGGACCAGTATTTTAATGTGTCTCAGAGATTTTTTGTTTACTTTATCGGAATCTACATGGGATCGTGATATGGAAATTGAAAAATAGAATTGAATATCGTTGATTTTTCACCACGTTTTTGCCATCTGCAAACAGGAAAGTCCCGGGGGGTACTCCCAGAAAAATTGGGGGGTGTATGGCCCGCTTCCCAAAATGCTTACCCTATTTATAACCAAAATCTGCGATATTCCCTACCCTATTTATGACCTGACCAAAAATTTGAAACCCTATTTATGACCTGACCCTTAAATCAAAACCCCGTTTCAGACCTGCGTTATAATAATATTAGTTCCCTAGTTCAGACCAATGTTAAATTACCGTAAACATAATTTGTGACGGGCTTTTGTTGATTTTCTCTTCGAGAATGATGAAAAAGTGGCTTCTTCTTAAAAACATACCCATATCAAGACTAGAGTGCAAAAACCATACCCTTTTTATGACCAAAATGGCCAAAATCAGCTAAATTCAAAACCCTATTTCTGACCAAAATGGCTGAAAAACCATACCCTTTGGGGCCGCACATACCTATATTGTTCATTTAAGGGAGGAGGAGGAAAGTTCACTTCCAGTTGGTCATAAACTGCAGCGGATAGAGGCCTGGGTTAAGTCCGGTTGTGACGTCAAAACAAGAACATAGGAAGACATATTTTTGGGACCAAACAAATAGAAACAAAAAAATAAGTGATTTATACTAGGAATTAGGCAATCTAGCATAATTCCAATTTTAGTACAAAACTGTAAACATTTACAAAAGATATGCTAGATGTATGTTCTTCTTTTGATGTCATATTGCCTAACTAAATAGTAATCCAAGGTTCTAACTGACCCAACCGGAAGTGAAATTTCACGTTTACAGACAGCTAAAATGTGGTAAAGAAAAAAACATCAAGATTCCATGTATATATTTCCATCAAGCAAACCAAAAAAATATCCTGGCTGGGAACCACTCAGGCTTTGAAATGGGATCTACAGGGAAAGTGAAATATATAGTAACTATAGTGGAAGGCCACTTACTAACATATGGACCCTCAACGCTTCTAAGAACGAAGCATAGAAAGCATAGAGAAACAAAAGGAACCATTCAAATTAAATGAGGTGTACACGAGTGGTCCGGTATTCTACACCTAGCCGAACCTTCAACAATAAGGCTTCTACTCACAGCTATCTTTCTCTGCATTCTTCGTGACGGCGCAGAAAAAATAAATGAAAAGCCGAGTCAATAATATCCTAGAGCTCAAGCCACCATTTTGGAAATTTGAATACAAGCAACACCTTATTACCTCTTACATGATATGCTACCACGTACTTGAGCCGGTTGGAGGAGGCGGAGGCGCGCAAATGCAAGACAAATGGCCAAACACTGACCTTATTAAACGTTTGCTTGTATTGGCCAGATGTTAAAGCCCTACAACTTTAACATCGTCTCCGCAGTCCCTGGTTGACAAGGTTGGGAAAACTCTACAAATTGGAGCTGTCAGCTTGGTTTCTACATGCACCAGTGCAGGAGGGGGGTAGGGTTAGGTTAGTGGGAGGGAACACTCGTTTACACCAGCAGTTCTTACAATTTGGGTATGCACAGTAAAACTAAAAGTTGATATTCTTTCCAGCCTCATCAGAACTGAAATTTTCCTACTTGAAAGGAAAGTCCTTCAAAATGCAACCAAGGTGTTATTTTGTTATAATACATCAAATGCTGCTAATGCACAACTGGTCTAATCAATTCATGGACAGGCGAAATTGGGATAGCCACTAGATCTGATGTTGCATTATGTAGTGATGGAGCGGATCTAGAGGGGTTTGAGGGGTTCAGTTGAACCCCCTAAATTAAAAAGGAGAGAGAGAGAGAGAAAAAAAATAGGAAAAAATAGGGTGTTGCCCCACAACACAGCAGGAAATCGAGCCTTAGCCAAGACAGGCCTTGTGGAAAAAAGTATTTGATATGATAATGAACAAGAGATCCTTCATGCGGCCTCAAGAAAATCATCCATGGAAGACGACAGAAGCATATGTGCAGTTCAAACTTCAGACCACTAAAGAATCTTGGCATTGTGTAGTTTTTAAAAAATACAAGGCTTCAAAGATTCAAGTCCATGACCTAATATATGCCAATGGATAGAGGACCATAGAGGACCATAGAGTAGCATACCAGTATCGCAGAAGTCATAGTTTTGACTCCGTTTGTATATAGTCTTGAAATCTTCTCAAGCTAACAAATGCAATAGCTTTTAATATCGCTTACACACTTGACTGCTCAATTCACTTCTGGATAATCTATCACTCGACAGTCAGAGTTCATCCTATCATCCTCAACCTTCTTCACTGAAAATTGTAAAAAGCCAGCCAATCCTGCCAAGCCCCAAGAGGTGCCTGGCATGTCAAAATAGTTCTCTTTATGGTACACAGTCCATAGTCAGCATCACATGTTTGCAAAATGTCGAATATCATAAGAAAGAAGGAAAGAATGGACTAGGTAACAAAATCTGATCCAAAATGTAAAAAAGTATAAAGCATGCACAAGTCCATAATATATTTACTTAGCTCTATAAGAATCAGTTCCCTTGTAATTCTTTCGCTGTTTTTAATTTCTATGTGCAAGCAAGACAATGGATGGATCTCTGTGGAGATACATAACTATATATAGTGCCCATACAGTTTTACAACAGTAACGGTAGAACCCTAGTAAACACATCCCCTGAAGAATACGATGCAAAAATTCCTCAGACAATACCCCACCTCCCTCCAACCCCACATGTACCCCTATGTTATCAGAGAAAGATATATGAACCTTTTTGCAATTTATATTTTCTTACAATGCACTCATAACAATGGTCACTTCAAAACTTAAGAACAAGTTCTTTTGATGTAACAACCCTTCTAAAAATAAACTCAAACATAAGTTAAAAAAGGAGACATGCTCTCCAAAATCAATGTCCTCATGATACCAACAAAATATAATACCATAAACTGCCACTTATAAGCCCCCTGGCTTGTAAGTGCCCCNCCCCCCCCCCAACCCCCATTATAGGAACATCTACCTGAAAACCAAAAAATACATCCGGTTATAAGCCACCCTTTAGCTTTCCTTGTTTTGAATTCATTTTAATAGTGAGGTTTCTTAAAACCTCACTATTAAAATGAATTCAAAACAAGAAAAGCTTAAGCTTAATTACCAGTAAATGAAAAACCTATTTTGACCAGCATGCAGCTAAATGTAGCTCATTTTGAAACGGTTTTTTTAAGCCCCTCCATTTATAAGCTCATCTACAAGCCCTTATAAAGTTGTATAAACCCAGGCCTTATAAGTAGTTTACAGTAACCTGACAAAACACAGAAATGGGAGCCAAGAACACCTCACAAACAACTTGTGCTTGTCTTTTTATTTTTATTTTTCAAAAACAACCTTTACATGGAAGGATGTTTCAGTGTTTACAGGCTTCCTTGCATTATAAATGCTGTTCAAAGTCCAAGCTCCAAGCATGCAAGTAAAGAGGCATGGACAACAAGTGTTGATATAGAATGCAGCTGCAGCTAAGAAAAGATTCTCTCACACAACAGAGGCTACATTTTGGTACAAAATAGATACAAGATGATCTTCCTCAAAAAGGTTATGAGAACCTTAACACTGACTGCTTTATCAACAGGGTTATTACATGGCTTATTTTCTTGAAAGATGATAGAACTGCCCAATACAAACCAGCTGCTAAAACTATTTCCAAAAGGGGTCAGGAAACAAAGATTCTTTGCCACCTGAACACTTCCCTGCACTTCTCATTTCTATAAACCTTGGTACAACCCTGCTGATAAGGAGTACACACAACTGTAAGTGAGATCATTTGTATAAGTGACTCTGACTTAAAACACAGTAGCCCTGTTTCTGCTATTCTGGGAACATCTTTAAGGCAATAATACAAGCTTCAAATGTGCCCAAGAATCGATCTGCTTTCAACTAAACAAACAGTATATAGTCAAACACAGCCTAGATTAATATGACTTCCTGTAGATAAACACTCAATTTCACACTCATTGAACGCAAGATATATTCCCTTTCTTTGGTAGTAGTAACTGAACGGCGCCAATAGATCGATAGCAGTTGTAGTAAAGCTTGATGACCATTCAGGGATTGCAACTTGAGCTACGTTGGTCTCTCCTTTTGGGCAGGAAAACTAGTATTGTCAACTTGCATTAGCAAATATCCTTGGAATATGATGGCATTATTTGAATGTATAGTACATCTCAGCCATGGCTGGAAAACACAAGTCCAAGGATAAGACAAGTGAACTTTACAAGCAATATGCAACAATGAACTCAACATGGACACGTGCTTCCCTTCTACAGTGTAAATCCACTGCACTGTTCACAAACTAGTGTGGGATACAAAAAGACAGCTTTTTACACCAGTAGTAGTCCGATATTTCACACATCACGTTCTTTCGTCCTGACACAAATCATGTACTCTCTTCAACCTGCGACGATACCCCTAGCCAGCCAGGGTTGCTGCACTGACTAACGATGAGTAGATGATTTGGGAATGGTTACGTCCCTACACAATGTAGTCTCGTGTGCCCTGTGGATATTCTTCTTCGAACATTGTTTTTAAGAGGAAGGTAAGCTTTGAAGGAGCATAAATGCAGAAAACTAGCCTGTAAGCTTTGAAAGATTCAGCAAATATTGCAAACAAGGCTTTCAACATGAAAATCCACTTTCACTGTTCACAGTTACTGTACATGAATCTGTTGCTGAACCTTCTAAATAATTAGAAAGCTAACACCAACATCTGCAACAACTAGAACAATACTTGCACCATTCACGTCATCACTTCTTTCATATCCGAAGGAAGTAAGCTTTGAGATAAGAATATGAAGATGTGCACATGTTTACCAAGAGACATGATTGTCTTGTATCCACATTGTGACTGCTCATGCTACAGATTTCAAAGCGGAATGACCACAACTTGAAGGGAAAAAAGGCCAGTAAAGGGGTAACTACGATGTTACCAATATTACACAAACATTATACAATAACACAATTTTTCTTTTTACACATTAAACATCAATTTGTTGATTTCAAAATGATTCTGTTATTAATTAGCTTACAGTGAAGCAAAGATGATACGAAAACATACAAAGTGCACTCAATAACACAAAATGTAATGCTATGAGGAGTCAAATTCGACATATTTAATCAACAAGGGGTGACAACCATCTAACAAGTAGTAAATGCATAGTCTTGGTCACAATGCAGATACAATGAAAGTGTGAAAACAGGCAAGTGCGCAAAAGGAGCTGACAATATTTTCACTTGTTTAAGGCCAGAAGAGTTAAGCCAGCGGCACAGATACTTCCCACTGTGAACAAACTTTTCCACATGGTTTGTGACTGCGAAGATTCTGAAAAGTGAGCAGTAAAGCCGTCCTGAAAAAAAAAAAAAAAAAAAAAAAAAA